CAAAAAGGGATGGATCAACGGCAAATGATTTATCCTTTTTATCCTTTATTATTAAAAAAATAATATCGAGGACAAATTGCACCATAAAAGAAAAGGTCAAGCGTGTCAGTGGGAATGTCCTCATACATCATACTCGCCATTTCCAGCCGTGGCTAGAGAAAATGGAAAAGAACACGAAGAGCGTGTTGGTCAAAAGTCCAATGCAAGCTTGTGGAACGAAACTCATCCATTCCTATAATTGCCAGTTCGACAAAGCTGTGTTCGAGCCGATCCTCACAAACGAGTGAAAGTAGTCAATCCAAGAACTGTCCAGTGTTTGTGAAGGTAGTTTCGTTTCTGTATACCTTGCCAAATTGCAATTCGTACTACGAAATTCACTTAAAGCAACAGTCCCAGCAGGGTTTTTACCTTCGACACTAATGGTGTGGAACGATGCGCTAGCCCTAGTCAAGAACATAAGAAGTGTGACTGAACAAAAACTCACCTTGGAAAGCCGCTAAGGGAGCTGAACGGCTTCGAAGTGGGCGTGGTTGGAATCGGCCGAGGGACTGCACAACCGCCCACTTCGAAGCTGTTCAGCTCCCTTTCTAGCGGCTTTCCAAGGTGAGTTTTTTGTTCAGTCACACTTCTTATGTTCTTGACTAGGGCTAGCGCATCGTTCCACACCATTAGTGTCGAAGGTAAAAACCCTGCTGGGACTGTTGCTTTGATCCGTTTCTTAATTCCAAAATACTTTGATTTCAGGTGATTGAGAATGAAGACGGAGCTCTGGATTGCGTAGGATTTTTTGACCACTTAGGTCACGATGAAAAGTCGCTGGTGAGTAGCATACGCTATGCTTTGGAAACACCTGCTACTCTAACGTAACTTGTGACCTAGTCAAAATTTTTCCATCTCTTTCATCGATCTCGTTATTTTTAAATTAGACTTTTTTTAGTGCCTTACTTATCTCACATTTGAAGAATGACCTCAAACATAGATTTCCACATGCAGGGCATCGAATCAACAGCAAAATGCAGGGCATCGAATCAACAGCAAAGAATAAAGGAAACTCGGAAAGTAAGGAGCCATGCTTCCTTTGCGGAAATGATGTGCCACCAGAAGTTGATGGTCGGATCACTAATTACATTAAATGGTTCCGTTGCAATGTTACTGAGTGTCGGTCGCTCGCGCACGAGTGGTGCATTAAACTTCTTGGGAAAAAGTGCATGCAGTGCGAAAAGGGAATGCTTGTGGGTGAGTTTGATTTCCTGCTGTGTAGCCTTTTTGAGTAGCTGTGATTCTACAAGTAATCGCGTTTTTTTCAGTCACTGAGGAGTCGTCTTTGCAAACCGATTGAGCCTTTGTAAATGTAATGTTCTTATATTGCCAGCGTTGTATCATTTTTGTTAGCAATATTGTTGTTATGTTGACACTTTTAATTGTTTGTTTTCTAGAGTACGATTGCTCTGAACTTTTTTATGATTACATAGGTTCCTGCGAGTTTGATTACCCGTTCACTGGAAGTTTTTTGAAAGCGGGCCCTTTGATTGTTCCCGTTCCATGTTTTCCGTTGAGTTATGTGCCGTTAACCTTCCTTGTTTGTGAATTGGATATCCTATTGTTAACGCGGGTGTTCGTTGTTCTAAGGAAGATGGTTGTTTATGAAATGTAATTACGAGATTCAAAAGCAGATAAATAGGCTAGATGACTAGATATGACTTTGTAAGCAAACTTTAAACATCTTTCTTGTTACCTGAGGTGCCAACGATTCTGTGGCTACAATTGGGTGGAAACGGGTGGTAAATGAATTCGAAGCGTCCCCCGGCATTTCACCTTTTTGTTCGCTGATCTCCATCTATTTTTGTTCCAACCTCGAACCTTACTAATAAATTTTTATATTCTCGTTTCAGCCGCTTCGATTTGCTTCTGAATCGTCGCAAATAATTGTACTTTCTTCGTCAGTCTATCCACTTTTGTTTGTGGTTGAGACATTATTGTGGGTTCAAGCTTTAGCCCTTCCCACCTCGGTGCATGCGGCGCAAGCTGTGAATTATTCTAGTAAACTCTACCCATTTGAGGTGAGCTGAGCCAAGCATAGCAGTGATTACA